ACTTTGCTCAGAAAAGAGATTAATACAAGCAAAGGCTTTTAGGCAGGAGAAAAGATGACCCTTAGAAGGAACTGAAAAAAAGCAAAAAGGACTGGGGTCCAACACAGTGTATACAATAGTATTGACCACCTATATTAGAATCACCTGTACTGATTATCTATATTAGAATAGATCCAATATCTATTCTAACTCCTTTTCTTCATTCTTAAAAGAACTTCACTTTAGTTCAAGTGTCTACTTTCTTCCACATAGTCAAGTGCTGATTCTATCCTTGATATTAGGAAGTAGATACTGTTTATACTTAAACCAATCGTGGTAACCTCTTTCTTCCTACCAGTGATTAGTTAAGGAATGGCATGAATGAATGCAGGAAAAGAAGTTGTTGTACACTTTAAATATGAGATGATGCTAGTTTGACTAATCAAAAAAAAAAAAAAAAAAAAAAAGCCAAACTCACTGCCATCAAGTCTATTTCAACTCATAGCAACCCCTCACTGGGTTTCTGAGTCAGTATCTCTATGGATACTGACAGCCAGAACAGGTAAGAGAGCCCCCAGGTAGGATACTAAGGGAGGTGAACTTGTGTGTCAGTTTGTTGTACTGTGGTGGCTTGCGTGTTGCTATGAGGCTGAAGGCTGTGCCACCAGCGTTTCAAAAGCCAGCAGGGTGGATGGGTTTCAGCGGAGCTTCCAGATTGAAACAGACTTGGAAGAAGGAAGAGGCCATCCACTTCTCAGAGAATTGGCCAGTGAAAACCTTATCAACAGCAGTGAAATACTGTCTGATATATTACGGACAACTTTATGAATAGACCTAAAACACTGTCCAATACCATGTCGGAAGATAGGCCTAGCAGGTTTCAAAGCATTCAAGATACGACTGGCAAAGAGCTGCCTCATCAGTGTAGAGCCAACCTTAATGATATGGATAAAGCAAAGCTTTCAGGACCTCCATTTGCTGATGTGGCGCAACTCAAAATGAGAAGAAACAGCCACAAACTTCCATTAATAATCAGAACATGAAATGTAGGAAGTATGGATCTAGGAAAACCAGGAGTTGTCAAAAATGAAATGGAATGCATAAAGATTGATATCCTAGGCATTAGTGAGCTGAAATGGACCAGTTTTGGCCATTTTGAATCAGACAATCATATGATCTACTATGCTGGGAATGACAAATTGAAGAGGAATGGCATGGGGTTCATCATCACAAAGAATGTATCAAGATCAATCCTGAAGTACAATACTGTCAGTGATAGGAAAACAGCCATACACCTATAAGGAAGGCCAGTTAATATATCAAAGATGAGGAAACTGAAGTTTTCCTACTTCTGCAGTCTCAAATTGACCAACACGCAATCAAGCTGTGTTGATTATCACTGGTGACTGGAATGCAAAAGTTGGAAACAAAGAAGAATCACCAGTAGTTGGAAAATTTGGTCTTGGTGATAGAAATGATGCTGGATATCACAAGATAAAATTCTGCAAGACCAATGACTTATTCATTGCAAATACCTTTCTTCAACAACACAAACGGCAGCTATACACGTGGACTTTGCCAGATGGAGTACACAGGAATCAGATCAACTACATCTGTGGCAAGAGGTGATGGAAAAGTTCAACATCTTCAGCCAAAACAAGACCAGGAGATGATTGGGGAACAGACCATCAACTTCTCATATACAAGTTCAAGCTGAAGCTAAAGCTGAAGACAATTAAAACAAGCCCATAAGGGCCAAAACATGACCTTGAATATATCTCTCCTGAATTTACAGACCATCTAAAGAATGTATTTTATGCACTGAACACCAAATGACTGAAAACCAGAGGAATTGTGGGATTACATCAAGAACATCATCCATGTAAAAAGCAAAAGGTCATTAAAAAGACAGGAAAGGAAAAAAAGACCAAAACAGATGTCAAAAGAGACTCTGAAACTTGACCTTGAACAAAGAGTGGCTAAAGCAAATAGAAGAAATGACAAGAAAAAGAGCTGAACCGAAGATTTCAAAGAGCAGCCTGAGGAGACAAAGTCAATTATTATAATGAAATGTGCAAAGACATGGTGTGAGAAAGACAAAATGGAAGAACACACTTGGCAGTTCTCAAGCTGAAAGAAGTGAGGAAAAAATTTAAGCCTCGAGTTGCGATACTAAAAGATTCTATGGGGAAAATATTTAATGATGCAGAAAACATCAAAAGAAGATGGATTGAGTACACAGAGTCACTGTACCAAAAAGAACTGGTCAATGTTCATCCATTTCAGGAGGTAGCATATGATCAAGAACCAACGGTGTTAAAGGAAAAAGTCAAAGCTGCAATGAAGGAACTGGGGAAAAACAAAGCTCCAGGAATTGACGGAATACCCATTGAGATGTTTCAACAAACAGATGCCATGCTGGAGGCACTCACTCAGCTGTGCCAAGAGATTTGGAAGACAGCTATCTGGTCAAGTGACTGGAAGAGATCTATATTTGTACCCATTCCAAAGAAAGGTGATCCCACAGAATGTGGAAATTATTGAACAATATCATTGATATCGCACTCAAATAAAATCTTACTGAAGATGATTCGAAAACGGCTGCAACAGTATATTGACAGATAACTTCCAGAAATGCAAGCTGGATTCAGAAGAGGACGTGGAACGAGGAATATCATTGCTGATGTCAGACGGATCCTGGCTGAAAGCAAAGAATACCAGAAACATGTCTGCTTGTGTTTTATTAACCACACCAAAGCATTCAATTGGGTGGATCATAACAAATTATGGATAATATTGAAAAGAATGGGAATTCCAGAACACTAATTGTACTCATGAGGAACCTATACATAGACCAGGAGGCAGTCATTTGAACAGAACAAGGGGACACTGAATGATTAAAAATCAAGAAGGGAGTGTGTCAGGGTTGTATCCTTTCACCATACTTAGTCTATCTGTATACTGAGAAAATAATCAGAGAAGCTGGACTATATGAAGAACGTGGCATCAGAATTTGAGGAAGACTCATTAACAACCTCCAATATGCTGACGACACAACTTCCGTTGCTGAAAGTGAAGATGACCTGAAGCACTTACTAATGAAGACTGAAGACTATAGTCTGCAGTATGGATTGTACCTCAATATAAAGAAAACAAAAATCCTCACAACTGGACCAATAAACAGCATCGTATTACTTGGTTCCACAATCAACATCAATGGAAGCAGCAGTCAAGACATCAGACGATGTAGAGCATTGGGCAAATCTGTTGCAAAAAGTCTCTTTCAGGTGCTGAAGATCAAAGACATCTCCTTGAAGACTAAGGTGCACCTGACACAAGCCATGGTATTTTCAATTGTTTCATATGCATGTGAGACATGCATATGTCAATGAATAAGGAAGACCAAAGAGTCGATGCTTTTGAGTTGTGGTGCTGGCGAAGAATGCCAAAAGACTGCTAGAAGAAGTCACAAATCTGTCTCGGAAGAAGTGCAGCCAAAATGTTCCTTGGAAGTGAGAATGGCCAGACTTCATCTCACCTACTTTGGTCACGCTTTAAGAAGGGACCATTCCCTGGAGAAGAATATCATGCTTGATAAAGTACAGGGTCAACAAAAAAGGGCAAGGCCCTCAACAAGATGAACTAGCACAGTGGCTGCAACGATGGGCTCAGGTATAGCAAAGACTGTGGAGCTGGCACAAGACCAGGAAGTGTTTCGTTCTGTTGTACACATGGTTGCTGTAAGTCAGAGATGATTCAACAGCACCTAACAACAATAACAAAAACAATCTCTACAGAAGTAGATTGCCCAGTCTTTCTTCTGAGGAGTGGCTGGTGGGTTTGAACCGCCAAACTTCTGGTTAGCAGTCAAATGCATTAGGCACTAATCTACCAGAGCTCCTGTCAAATGCCTTAGGCACTATAAATGGATATGGAGACTTACACAGAGGAATAAGGTATAATAAAGTATCCAGGATGTCTCCCAGGTTTATGGCTTCGGCAAATAGTGGTCAATCCTTTCCATATAGTCAAAAGCAAAAGAAAGATTAAAAAAAAAAAAAAGCATTCATAGTTGTATGTTATTCTTAGCATATTTCTCCTAAATAATCTATTGTTGTTGTTATGTTGTTACATGCCGTCGAGTCGGACCTGACTCATAGCGACCCCTCCTTGGGTTTCCGAAGCAGTATCACTACGGAAGTAGATTGCCCCATCTTCCTTCCGAGGAGTTTAAGAACTATTAAAGATCATACTTAAAACCCACTTGATGGATGACCAAACTATGGTACATACACATAATGGAATGCTATACAGCACTAAAGAATAATGTAGAGTCTGCAAAACACCACATAATATGGATGAACTTGGAGGACATTATGCTGAGTGAAATAAGTCAATCAGAAGGACAAATATAGTATTAGTTTGTTGTTGTGGAGGGTCAAGGAAAGGTTTATATATGGAGGGAAACTTTCTTTGTTGGTTGCCAGGGGTGAGAGGGGAGGAGAGGAAAAACTGCAAAAAAGAAAAAAATGCACTGACCCATATCACTTTAGTTCTGTGTATTTCACTGTGCATAAATTATATTTCAATAAAATGCATTTAAAAAAAACACTTTATCTTCATATAGATACTGGCCTCAGAAAGTCAGGCAAATTTATAAAGAATAAATGAATGAGTCTAATTAGATTTTGTCTTAAGATACAAATCAATACATTTTATAAGATTCTACTATATAATTAAAAATACTGGGTACATATAACAATTTCTAAACATCATTTATTTTGCCTTGCTTCTAAAAATTATTTAAGCCAGCAAAATATCCAAATAAATTAAGTCAAACTAGTAAAAAACAGTCCAAGGGTTTCTGACCACTCTAGGTACTATTTTTAAATAATTCCAGAGAAATCAGACATATACAAATCAATTGTGCTAACGAAATTTACCTAAATTTGGTCTCATAATAGCAATAATTAAGGGCTCTTGTTACAGATACCAATAGAATCAAGCAAAATATAAATTACCTTGACAAGTTGATGAAGTAATATTTCTTTCAGAAGGTGGCGTACTTGGACTGCTGAAATGGTGTGATGTTCCATGGTTCATGTCATTGTTAGTAAAATTCTTTGAGTGGCATGTACAGCAACATGACAGTGGTACTTCAGCCTTTTTACTTAAGCCCTCATCCACTAGCTTCTCTAAAAATGAAAGAACCTTGATTTTTAACATCTCTAATTTTCAAAAAATCCACTCCAGTCTGGAGCTAGGGTGAACAACCATGCCAGTATGCCCAGAACTGAGGGGTTTCCCACGATGTGGGACTTTCAGTGCTAAAACCAAGAAAGTACCTGGCACACCAGGACAAGCTGGTCACCCTATCTGCAGCATCAAATTAGGCTAAGAGAAACATTTATGTCAGAAACTTTTACAGAGAATTTATCATCAATTTTACATCATTTATCACCTTCAGAGAGTTTATCATCAATTTCTTTAATCTACAAAAATCTAATCATTCAAGATTTATAATGTAATCAAAACACAACTACTCAAGTATTCATTTGTATTGAGACTTATTGAAAATTCAAGCAGAAAGACTGAAACATACCTAAGCAATATTCTTAATTACTACTATTTCCCTAAATGAAGAATTTGAATGTTCAATATATAAAATAGTAATGTAAACTACATGACAGGCTAAACCATTCCTCACATTACACTTTTACTTCAAACATAAACATGTTTTTTGATGTCATAATTTTCATACCTATATCAAAGTGCATTTTGAGATTAATACTTTAAATCGATAAAATGAGTAAATTTAAATTCCAAAATATTTAATTATAATAAGTCTACATTTCATATATACCAAAAATAGCCAAATAACTGATTTTTTTAAATAGTACTGATATTATATTCCCATCTGTACCACACAAATCTATTAATTCTATTTTTCAAACCCTTCCCATTAAAAGTTTAAGTCATTAACTGATATCATTTTTCCTTAAAGAATAACACCAACAATCAAAACGGATAGCCAAAAACTTATAAAATATTTATTTTTTAATAAAAGTAGTATGAAAATGTCAAAAAAAAAAAACCCCACACATATACATACCCATGATTAATTTCAACTTCTCCTAATACATTAGGTCAAAGCCATCTAATTATGTAACTAAAAATGTATCCAATACTGTATTTCAAATTCATTACATAGATTATGTAGTTTTTCAATAAAAGAAAGTACTGCCAGGCATTTGTTTACAAAT